TTCTGAAAAAACTACTTTGTAAAGCTTTGGGGATGAGCAGGGATTATGAAACTATATATCCAAAAGAATATTATTTAACAGTTATTTTTTAAAGTTTTATATAAAAAAACGCGACATAACATAACGGGGGAGTGTTTTCTAAACTCATTTGTAGCGTATATGAATTGATCAACAAAAATTTCTAGAATTGATTTCCAAATTTGGAAATCTCCCTGACTGAATTGCACAACACTGATCTCAGGTTAAACAAGTTTTTGTGCGCAGTCACGAGACTTTTTTCTATTCTAAATTCGATTGAAGTCACATGTTTCACAACATAAAAAAGATCAACGATCGATTTTGTCACATGTGATAAAACGAATGTCCACTATGCTGTACAACACTGCATACATATTGTTATGAATAATTTCTTTTTTGGATTTTTAATTATATTGATTGAATTAAAGAGTTTATATATATATATAACTGTTATTGTCTTTTAATCATTTTAATCTAGTGGCTTTTCTGCCACTACTAATAATGGAACTTTTAAAAGAGTCAAAAAAGAGGGATCAACAACTACTATAGTGCAGGACACCTAGTCCCTATAACTTTTATTAGTCTTGCAAATCCTTTAACTCCTCCAAAAATGGAAATATGTGACCAAAAAAACAAGATGTCATTTTGAAGCTAAGACCTTTTTCTACAAAATGACATTTTCATTTTGTTGATATGTCATGTTGTTGTGGAGGAATTAAGCCTTAAAGTTGCACAAGTTTAACAAATTTGCTATGTTAATCCCCCAAAGTGACGTGTTACACGCAAATTTTTTATATTAAAAATGAACGAATTGGAAGAATTGAAAATTTTGAAATCTGTATTGCAGATCTTTTATCACGTGATACTAATAAAGAGAATGCAACGTGCCAAATCTATTTTAAAACACGTGACTGTAAAAATTTTATTGCATTTTTGATTGGGAATTTTTTCCCAAATCTATCGCTGTGGCGCAGAAAGTTGTAGGGACTAGGTGTCCTGCACCATATTGGTATGTTTATGATATAATTTTTAATTTAATTCTTAATCTTATATAATATTATATTGAATGGAAACTAAAAATATTACATCATCTTCTTTTATTATTATAGATGGGGATAAAAAACTTTGTTAAAATTGGGTCATATTAAAAGTATACCTGAAGAAGCAATAGACCAAATTCTGAAAAAAAGAAAAGAGAAGGTCCAATCATTTGAAACTTGTCTAGAAAACATAATGGATATATTTTATTTGATGACTTTGATAAGAATGATGAGAATGTGACAATTTTTCTATTTATTCATTTTATGTTTTCACATTTTGTCAGTTTTATATTGACAAAATTTTTTTTAATAAGATTGCAGAATTAGGAATAGTTATAGTTTATGATGAAGATGACAACAATGATGTTAGTTTTTTTTATTGTTATAGATTTACTATTATCATTTTCCTAATGTTAATATAAATTTCATTTGATAGATTATGTAAACAGGTGAATCCTCCCGCACTGAAGGAGTTGCTGATCACTTTCACAAACCCTGGGCACTTATTGATTGGGAGGCAAAATGCCATGGATGTACAAAGTAGTTTGGAATTTGGGAATTCTTTGACAGGTTGGGATTGGGCAGCATGTATAATGAAAATGATGATGATGAAATCATTGTTAGATTTATTTCTTTTAAATTTTTCTATCATTATTGTTGATTTATTAATTAACATCTAATGCTAAATTTTATTTTGATAGTTAATTGATGGTCTATAGGAGCTTAAACCAGTTAAAGGTAGATTTCTATTAGAATTATATCAGCATATTTATATTTATAATTTTAGTGAAAATAATTGTTTTCTGTTTTATGAGATCAAGAATTCTATCTACTTAAATAATAATAGTAACCTTTTGGAATTTTTCTTTAGAAATATATATCAAAAATGGTTTTTATTGCATTGCATCCTTAACAAATTTAAAATGGTCAAATAGAAGTAATATTGGTGACTATGTTAATCTTGCCAAAGAATCATACTATAAATGAGGTATCATGTTAATGATGATTATAAAGATTTAAGTAAGTATTTGTATAAATGTATAATTTTTTTATTTATTCAATTTTTCATCCAAGTTAGTTCTATATTAGAAAACTATTATGGAAAAACAATAGAAGCAAAAATAGTAATCCTAACATATACAATGACAATAAAGACTTTAAAAATGTAAAAAAAAAATTTTAAATTCAAATAAATTGTGTGCATATGGCCCTATTGTGAAAAATAACATACAGAACTTCCGTTCACATTCTGTACTAGCACCATTATGTATTATTATTACATGCATATTCCGTGCATATCCTGCAAGTTTTAGCACATTTGACAGGAAGATTCCATATCTTTACCAGAAAACAATTACAATGAAGTTAAACTCACTTTTCCTGAATCTTTCCTGCATCTTTTCTATGTGCAATTTTTTATAGGGTGGTAGACTTTACTCCAAACCCCAGTTTATATCTAACTTTTGAAATCTCTTTATTAATATGCAATATTGTTGGAAATTTACTAGATGTTGAAAATTATTTCAGGATCAAACAAATATTCTTGCTTTCCTATGGTACTAAGGCTAACTGGACCTGGATGCCCTGCCCCATAAAATTTTTTTTTCAGAAAGTGTATTAGTATGGTTTTTCCATACATTTTCCGTGCAATTTGTATGGAATATGCATGGAATTATACATTAAAAGAGTACTTTTCCATACATATTTGTCCTGGAATATAATTTTTCGGGTCATTTTCCAAAATTACATACATATTCCATGCATATTCCATGTACTTTCCATACATTTTTAGTGAATATTACAGTGACAATAGTATTGAATTAGATTATGATACATTAGGATTAGTTTAATAATCAATGAATGAGGATTTATTTTCAGAAATAGTAAATGAAGAAGCATTTCAACAACCAGAAGAAAACAAACAATTATTACATGATTCTACGGGTTTTGAAGAAGTTGTGAAGCCAATGATGGATATGAAGTAATAATTTCTACTAAAACAAGAAGCAAGTACCCAATTAAGCAACATAATCTATGAAATAAAAATGCTTAAAAATTTGTTTTAAATAATTCTATTATTTTTGAAATACTTTCGGCACCCAGCCTTGATATTCATCAAAACCTCAATCTATATTTTGATAAAAATTTGCTCCTCTAAAAAAACTATTTTACTATTTGATAGCTCATCAAACCAATGGGTTTTTGCTAGTATAAAGTATTCATAACGTTATGATCATACCGTACTAGATTTTGGGTTCAAATATTTAACAATAGAAAAATTAAACTTTGCATAAATATTTATAAGAACATATGGTCCAAAAATTTTGGTTTTCATTATTATCCATAAACTCAATAAATCTTATAATATTATCAGCTTCAACTGTATACTATTCGCACTCAATACAGTGAACCTGTTATATATATAACGAGTGAATCATATGATATAACAAAGTTATGGAAATTTCATTATATATAAATTCAGTTTGATATAATGATTTTTAATATAAACTCTCTATATAATGGATAGTAAAGAAACCAACTCTTCCTTATATAGAGTGTCAGCTGTATCAAATTTTTAGGACAATTTCCTCTTTTTTATGAGAAAAAGGCCACGACACACAATGACTTTTTTCAATCTTTTTTATTCAAGAATATGAGTCAATAAATCAACAATTTAAAATCAATATTTAATAAATAATAAAATATTAGTAATGATGAAATAATTATTTATCAGTTTAACAATTGATATCATGTCAAGTTGTTGGTTGTTCCTCACATTTGAATTCTGACCCACCAAAGAAATCATTATTGTCAAAGTTTTGGCGAGAAATATTTAATGTTTGACAAGATTATTTACTATTGGATCAATTGAATTTTGATGGACTGTGTTCATATTATTGGCAGGATTATGGCCAACAGTGTCATTATTATTGTTGGCAGAGTTTAATATAGGAATGTTTGCTGGAATAACTGAATTCCAATTAACCATCAGACTAATTGAGCCATGACAACTAAATATTTATTGTCTGAAATCCCATTATATTGGCCGATTGGCTGAATTACTATTGAGAGTGCATTGCGGAATAATTAGGAATAATTGAATAACCATTAATATGGTTATCAAGATTATGATGTTGATGGCCCATGAATTATTATTTCATCTAGTTAATTATTTTTATTTAATTTGATAATTATTTAGTTATTTATTAATTAATTAATTTTTTCTGTCATTTATATAATTAATTTAAAGAAGTTATTACTATATACTACATTATATTTGTGTGTGTGCTCCAAAAAATAAAAAACAATGGTTACATTGTTTGTTTGTTCTATGTGCAGAATATTAACATGTAATATCGACGGATTATTAATGTCATGATCCTACTACACATGTGCGTAGAAATTTGGGGTTCTGTTTATTTGTTTGTTTTCTGTGCAAAATACTAATATCCGAGTGTGCCGAACTCGAGTTTGATTACATTATTATTATTAATGTTCACTTTGTCTCGTTTTTGTTGCAGTACACGCTCCCCATATCAATGATGATAATAATGATAATAATAATAAGTGGATTTGGTTCGCTAAACCCCAAATCCATAAAACCAAGGTCCGCTAAACCGAGATGTACCATGATATCACTTAATTTACCTGCCATTGATTAGATGATCTTTCCAATAAAAGAAGTTTTTGTTTCCCTTATTATTATATTATTGTTAAAAAAATTCATATTCTTCCATGTAAATATGAATATTCTCTAAAATAGTAAGTTGGTAAAAAAGATCAAAAAAAAAATTCCTTTATTTATTCTTCCCTTATTTTTTTTTTTAGGATCATTCTTAATTATTTTTTTTTTGATATTTTTAATTTTATTTTTGGTAAAAATAAAAATTTTCTAGAAAAGAAGGTCATTTTTTTAATATTTAATAAAATAAAGAAAAGAAAATGTCGGAATGTCCATCTAGTGAACGTATAATATTGAATGTTGGTGGAATTAAGGTGAAAATATGTATAAATATATTTTATAATAATTAATAAACAACAACAATAATATTATTATTAATCTTGTTAATATTTTCTATTTATAATCTTTATCCATTAATTACATATAATAGTATGAAACATACCGTTCTACCCTAACAAATTATCCCGATACATTATTAGGAACAATGTTTCAAGGAAGAAATCAAACATTACTTCATCCCATAAATGGGAATGAATATTTTATTGATAGGAATGGTAGAGCGTTTCATTATGTACTAGAATTTTATCGTACGGGAGATGTTATTTGGCCAAATGATGACGAATTCTTATCGTCAAACATGTCTTGTAGTTGTTGTCAATTAGTAACAAGACAAGAATTGATAAGAGAATTTGATTATTTTCAAATACCAACCAAGAAAGAAATGATTCCATCAAATATCGACGATTCAAAATCCTTAGCAATAAAATTAGATGGATTTGTCACAAATTTAATAGAGTCTTACTATATAGCGAGACAAAATTATCAGACAAATTTATCAATTAAATTTTATGATCGTCTACCAACAATAAAATTAGAACCAAAATCAATTCCAATACATTCCGAACCTCGAATTGATAGATTAATGAAACCCTATTTATCGAGTGGTTATTATATATTAGAAATGTTCTCTAAATTCATTGAAACTTATATCAAGATGATGATTCCTGATTTAAGATGGAGTTTAGACAAAAGGTTTAAATATGAACCCGAGCCAAGTTATTATGAATTAAAAATTACAAGTGGAAAAGTATTGGATAAAGATGAGATTCTTAAATATTCAGTTTTAAAAAGTAAGTTTAATAATAATTTACACTTGATAAAAAATTAAAAATATTTAAAATTATATTTACATTAAATTTTATATATTGTTTAGATGTAAATATTTCAGAATCTCAATATATTGTAAATGGATTAGGTTTATTGGGTGGCACTTTTAGACCTTTGAACAGAGATGGAAGATATATTTAATATTTTTATATATTTTATGGACTATTTATTTCATTAATTAATTTATCTGTAATTATTATTATCATTATTATTACTAATATATATTATATTTATATTATTTATATTTTTATTATTTTTAGAATTATATAAAGATGTGAAGCTTTAATTTACAGTTATTTATTATTTACACATACACACGCACACGCACACGCACACGCATATACTCTCTTTTGAAATTTCGATTTTATTTATTATTTTTTTTTTTTGTTAATAAATTTAATAAGTTTATTATTTATTGTAATATACATGTTTACATATTTGCATATACAAATATGATTGGTAAATATTGATAAATATTTAATAAAAATTATAAAGAACAATTGAATGATAATAAATCTTTAATATCAAGATTATCGAGTTGAAAAGCATGCTTTTTTGTAGGTACCCCAAAATCAAACGTGAGCCAATGGTTTTCAAATTAAGCACACATATACATAGTTGATATTTACTATCTTTTTGTCACAAAATTTTACAAGTAAATAAATATAGACATGTTTTAAGTTGAAAATATTCTTTGGCAAAATTTACAAGACCAGATAATCCTATCCTTATTTTACGTTTCTCACGTGAATTTTGCAGGGTATAAGTAATCCGGTCCACAGCTTGTCCCGACCCATTCGGAACCTTATCATCGTCAAGGGAAACTTGGTAGTGAAACAGAAATTATAAAACAATAATGGATAATTCCAATTCTATAATATAAATGAATAAATAGTTCTATATATTCCTATAGAATTTATTTATCTGTTCAATCAAAAAAAAATATATATATAGTTCTTTTAATTTTTACGATAAATGGATAAAAGATCCATCATTGCATAAAGATCCACCAGATGTAGTCATGAATGTGGAAGAATACTGGTATTAGATTATCGATAGATTCATTAGCATTATCAGTATTATTCCATTGATGGCGATGACGATCCGTTTGATGCAGTGATGACATTTAATTTTGACCAAATGTGAACAAGCTGTCTAATCATTATTTCTTTAGATGATGGCCTGATTCCATATTTAGCAACTTCCAACTAAAGATTAATTATATTGTTATTATAAATCATTTTTTACTAATAAAAACAAAATATTAATAAATTGACTCTACTTTTAATTCAGGAATTGTCATTCGTTGATAATTTGGCATCTCTTTAACAACTTCATTATTAGACGTTAATGCTGGTGTTGAAGATGATGCAGAAATGGCTGAAACTACTTGTGTTGAAACTGAAACTGAAACTGGAGCTGGTACTGAAGCAGCTGGGACAGATTCTTTTACTGATGTTGATGTTGATATTGATGTTGATGTTGATGTCGGAGGTAAAGTTAATGTTGATGTTATTTGTGATAATGGAGATTGAATATTCTCTCTATCTTTATGACTAGCAAAAATCTTTTTTTTTGGAAAAGATTTCTTGAGCTTTTGATTACGTTCTTTAACTATACTGTTAACCTTTGATTGAAATATATATAATCAATGCAAGTAATAAATACTAAATAATATGAAATGATAAATAATATATAAAGTAATAAATAAATAAAACTAGGTTTAATGACACCTTTTGATGATATCTTTTCAATAAACCAGACATCAGACTAATAAGTTTATTTTCCTCTTCTTGTATTTGAAGTTGATAATTTTTTATAAAAATGTTGACTTGTTCATCATCATCATTCAATAATTTTTCATTAATTTCAAAAGAATTATATAATTCCTATATTAATCACATAAAACATTTGTCAAAAATGTCCTCTCCTTATTAAATAATAATAGTAATAATATAATTAATTTCTTACACCAAAATCATAAATTGTTTTTTTAAGTAAATCAGATAATTTAGTTTCACTTGGTGGAATAGTATTACTGGTTTTAGTCGACTTTTTTATGAAACTTGTAATGGTTTTTTGTGAGGTATTACTTAATAATGTTGATTGTTGACAATTTTTATCCTCCATTTCATTCAACCATATAATAATAATAGAAAGAAAGTATTTTAGATGGATTACACAAACAATCAATAACAAAAATAAAGAACACGTGAATTTAATTTCCCTCGGGTCACGAATCACAAATGATCTTCAATTTGTGATGTTAAACGAATTTCAAGAAAAATGAAAATGACCAAAAAGAAATATTACAATTATAATTATCATTTAGTTTAATTTTTATTTATTAAAATCATGTCAAATAATACTATTACTAAAGGCGAAATAACCAATGGTGAAGACGCAATTGACGAAAGTATTATGAATGATATGAAAGATATATTTCAAGAAATTGATCAGGCAGAACTTGAACTTGGTAAAAAAAATAATTTTATCAAGTTTTAACCAATTAGCTGGTTGTTAAATTCAACCCTTCTTTATTTTTAATTTGAATATTTTAAAAGCCAAACAACAAGTAAAACTTTTTACACCTATTTATGAAAAACAAAGAAAAGTTTTTGAAAAGATTCCAAAATTTTGGGCGCAAGCTGTAAGTAACGATGATTTTTTTGTTTATTAAAATTATAATTAAACGAATACTAAATATTGGCATTATTAAAATTTAATAGTTGACCAAAAATTCTCTTATTGGTAAATTTATTGTTACTATAGTGATAATGATAATTATAATTTTATTAATTAATATATATCCATTGTTGTTATTATTATTATTATTATTATTATAACGAAGCTCAATCATTGTCATATGATGATTATGAAGTTGTTCAGTACATTACTGATTTAAATATCAAAAGAGATGACCCTGAAAATTTAGAAAACTATTCAATTATTTTCAAATTTTCAGGAAACCCTTATTTTAGCAACGAAGAAATTGAAAAGGTAATTTAATTAACCATTAAACATTTAATAATTATTATTATTATCTGAATCTGGATCTGAATCTATTACGGATATCGTTAAATTTTAGAAATTTTTCATTGACGAGGATGGAAAAAAAACTACAACGTCTACAACAATCAATTGGTTTAAAGATAAGGCGAGTAACTAATGAATCAAAAGAGAGATAAATTACTCAATATATATATATATAATAGTAATAATAACAATACTATAATTAATACTAAAATAATTATTAGGATTTTACTAAAGAAGATGACGGTGATCAATGTTTTTTTAGATGGGTAGCTGGAGATTCTACTGATGATATGAATTGGGAGATAGGAGGAATTATAAAAGATGATTTCTTTCCCCAAGCTTGGAAGTAAGTTATTATCATTATAAATGATATTATTTATTATAAGAAATCATATTGATTATATATATTATTATCATTTTTTCCTGTAAGTTATTATAATAAGGATGATCCTCACGATGATGATGAACTTGATGATGAAGATGATGATGACATCGAAGAAGAAGGTAATGATTAATTAATATTTATTTATCGAAAAATGATATTATTATTAATTATCATTTTTTTCTTTATTTCTTTAGAAATTACTTTACCTCTGCCGTCGAGAAAACGACAAAGAAGTGAAGAATAAAAATGACATAATTATTTTTTATTATAAAGTAGGAATGTTAATATAGCTTGTTAATTATATATAGATTATTGTAATATTAATAAGAAAATTAATTTTAAAAATTCCAAATATATTATATGCGACCGAACCACACAAAATGAACATTATGTCACATAAAAATTTCAGGCCCAAATTTAGTCATCACCGATATGATTTAACGACTTTATAATGAGTGTCTTATCTTTGAGTCATTAAATAAACTACATAAATGTTATACATTCAGGGTTGTCATAATTGTTACATGTGTCTTGTGATTTGTACCAAAGACAATGTAAAGCCACTTGATGATACTCATAGTCCGCCTTGTGTTTGAACATTATAAAAACAACATCAATTCTCGGATAAAATCGAACTAGTCAAATCACAAATCCTTTAATAGTTATTGCTAAACACAATTTTATTTTTGTTTAAAAAACCAAATAACAAAAAAAAATATTTATAACAAACAATTTAATAAAAATGTTTACTTTCAACAGTGAACTTTTTGCAGTTTATTAATTGGACTCTTACTTCATCATAAAACTTACAAAACCAGTTCTATGACATGAATCAAAAAATTGATGAAATAATAAATAAAATAAATCAAACCAACTCACTAGTGATAAAAATATTCAGAAGAAATTGAAAATCTCTGGAAGGATTTCAAGCAATTATTTGGTAAAAGATTGAATTGGGCTCAGAAAATTTCTCTGGTAAATGGTGATGGAAATCTGTGAAGGAAAATCATCTTATTGCAGAGGTTCCACAGGATGTATATGTGGACCACAAGAGAACACAGGTTATCCTCCCCTGGTCAAGCATTGCATTTAAGGTTCTTGAGGAAATACAAGTCCAAGATGTCAACTGGTTTGAGATATTTTTGAAAGTTATGATATTTTGTCACAGTATTCAAAATGGTATGAGGCTTTTAGAGTTTGGAAAATTCAGATGAATTACAATGAAGTGAGACAATTTTGGAATGAAGTTCACATGGGAATGTCAATGAGAGAGTAATTAATCAAAGTTACTCAGAACCAGACGATCAATTGTCCATAGCTATCACTCTCATTTCTGTGGACATCTCGCCACAACCATATTTATCACATCTGCTCATGAGCAGCTACATAGCTACCTGTACCAAATGCTTGTAATGTATCCATCTGAACCTATCCTCTCTGAAACTGTTCTCAGACTTGTGGATAATAATGTAACTAAAGATGGGAATCGCAATTAGTTGCAATTCAATTTTCATATGCTGCAACTGCAATCACAATTCAATTTATATGCCGTAATTAATTGAGAAGCCACCTTTAAATGCAACACTGAAGGTTTTTCAGTTATTCACATCTTTTCAATGTGGATTTGTTGATGCTGGTCATTGTGGTGAATTTGTTATCAGACTTATTCTGATCATTACAAGGCAGAAGTGTATACAAAAGACTCAGAGTAACAATGGACTCTACACAAGATGATTGTCTCTCAAAGATTTCTTGTCTGTGTTGTTTGGTATTTTGATGACCTGGAAGCAAATAGTATCCTTGGAAAGGTTTGAAACTGGACAAAATACTATTGGAATCTAATCTATGTTTTACTCATTTTATAGCTAATTGCTTGGACAACTGTTTAGATGAGCTGCAGCTGCAATACTTAAGTCCAACCAACCTGGTGTTGACCATTCAACTTCAGGATGCTACATTCTCATATATTGTGTGATGTCAGAGATGTTTCACAAGGAGGTACTGATTACATGAAAGATTAAACTTACAAGATGAAACCTTCTCTTTACATAATAGGGAGAATGGTTTTATCAGCCTGAGCAGATGAGACAATATGAGTATGATAAACATATATCTGTGTTCAATGATACAAGAACCAAATCAATACTAAATACTAAATGTGTATATTAATCCATTTGGCAAAGTATGGAATAGTGCAACAGTCATGGACAGAACAATGTCAGTAAAAGTTTTGTTCCACTATGTTATGCATTAGACAATTGAAGATATAAATATATATGACTATACTGTAATGATTTCTGTATTTGCAAGTCAAAAGAGAGTTATAATTGAAATAATACTACTGTGATATGCTATTTAAGGTGAGTCAATAAATATTTGGGAGTTATCTAAATTATAACTTTGTGGCAAAAATTATATCCAGAAAAGTTATTGTGCCAATTATTTGGGAGAATGAGAGAATAATTGATAATGTAATTAAATTGGCAAATATTTCATGCTTAATGAATAACTCGGGTAATCTGTCAAAGTTGTTCTATGAAATACATGAAACCAAGTCATTTATATACTTGTTGAATAATTAATAAATGATTTCCCACTTATTATGAAGATTTATTTTTTTATGGGAAATCACTTCCTTTATGAGAAATTATCACGTGATTCAAATAATAAATTACTGGAATAGCGCCATTATGATTGGTTTTTTTTTTCAGACAAATGTGCACGCAATCTTTCATAGGGTCAAAGAAAACCTAAACATGACATAAATGTTACTTCAAAACATTTGAAAGAAGGACATCTTATTGATGCTTGTGCTTATGCTAGAAAGTTGCTGGAGAATAAATCATCACTCAAAAAACGATTTAATTGCAAGAAGTTACAAAAGTTTATAATCTCTATCAAAGAAGAATCAGAATTACCGAAAATGTCATCCAACCTACATGTAATGATGAGCGAATCTGAAATTATATACAATTTCAAAGAACTAAAATTGCAGCAATGAGCCTGTAACAAATGAGATTGATGAATTGCCTCGAAAATGTCCACATGAGGAGAGGTTCAGGGCCTGTTTCTTTGAGAAATCCAACGTTAATGAAATGTGTTATGCGATATTTTGAATCATGTAATCCCATTTTGATATAACTGTGAAAATGGCAATTAAAAAATCAGTTTTTTGCAAAATTTTGTCTGCTGGATTGAATAAAACTATGTTATGATGCTGAAAAATGGTTTCAATATTTTGGTGTTTAGAAGGAAATTGGGTGGTATTATGAATTTCAACATTCTCTTTCCGAAATTTATAATCCTGCTCAGGATGTTTCTAATGATTCCTTTCATTATTGAAAACTAGAAAATCAGAATTTCTAATTTCATAAAAGATATAAAACCGGGATCTTAAGTTAATAGGAGTAATCTTATATTGAAGGATGTATAAAAAATATTTTCACAAGTATATCCCAAATTTGTTAATTGAGTGTATAGAAATATAGCATCGTGACCAACCAAAAATTAATTAATAAATGTCAAAAAGTTTATTCGGATATCTCAATGATAATAGTTTTGAAACAATAATCTTTTTGAAGAGGAAACAAAAGTTTAAGCATACCAAGAATCACTAGGTGAAATAACCACAGAGAGCTTTCAGGGAAGATCAAGAATTTGTTGAGAAATACAATGATATAAAAGATTATAAGGAATGATATTAATATGACGGATGAGTTGAAGTTGCAAGTGCCAGTAGGGCGTAATACAACGAGTAAAAAGTTATATCATGTGAATTAATATATCTAAGATCAATCTTGCCTTGGGATAGTAATAATATAAAACTGAAATCATTTTTTTATTCTTGTAATTAAGATGGTAAATTATTTTTAAATTATATAAATAAAAATTTAATTTTAATATTTTTTCACTAGATATAAAATTAATATTTTATAGATTTGCTTTTCTTTCTTCCAAACGACTTCTTCTTTTATCAGAAACAAGTTCTCCCTCAAACATTCTATTAATAGCATTCACGTAAGCCTTGGCACTGGCTATGACCACGTCTGCATCAGTTCCACGACCTAGATATGTATTTTTAGGCTTAAAAACACTATCTATCGCTGTTTTTGTTGTTAAATTTTTTGTCTCATCTAATCCCGACGAATCAACATCTTCAGTTACTTTAACTACTACTTTTCCCAAAGCATCTATACCTTCTGATACTGCACGAACTTCATAATTTAACAATCTAATTTTTCGTTGAACTAAACGTTGAATAGCACCAAATACAGCCATTATTGGCCCAGTTCGTCCAATAGCTGCATCCATTAACTCTTTATTACCATTACCCGCCAATGTGTCTATCAATTTGACTGTAGCTGTTGCCATTTCTGCAGTTCCTGAAACCACCTGAATAGATTGTAACTTGAATCGATGTGACTCAGGAGCTGTTCCTGAGGAAATTTGATCTGACAACAAAGCAAAAAGATCATCTTCTGTAACTTTTTTTTTCGAATCAGCTAATACTTTAAATTGTTCAAATGCATTATTAACTTGCTCTTCACTCATGTCACCATATCCTAATTCATCGATACGTGATCGAAAAGCATTACGTCCCGACAATTTACCCAACACTAATTTCGTGTCAGACACACCAACATCTTCCGGTTTCATAATTTCATACGTTGACTTATTTTTGAGAACACCATCTTGATGGATTCCAGATTCGTGAAGAAATGCATTTGCTCCAACTATTGCTTTATTGGGTTGCACTAACATTCCGGAATGAGATGAGACTAAAATTGATGTACGATAAATTTGTTGTGTGTTGATTGAATGATAAACTGGATAAAAGTCTGGATGTGTTCGTATATTCATTGCTATTTCTTCAAGTGAAGTATTACCTTTTTTTTTAAAAAAAAGGAGTATTGAATTAATAATTAGATGATTGTTATAATTGATAATTTTTATTATTCTTATATATCAGATTGTATAAACATATACCTGCACGTTCACCAATGCCATTAATAGTTACTTCAACCTGTCTTGCACCATTAAGCACTCCTGATAAAGTGTTAGCAGTAGCTAGACCTAAATCGTTATGACAATGTGTTGACCATATTGCCTATATATATAATTAATTATCAATAGTAAAAAATAAAAAATAAATATAATTATTATTATTAATAATTATATTCACCTTATCTGAACCAGGAGTGTTTTCAATCAGATATCTAATTAAAGCGCCATATTCTTCAGGATTAGTATAACCAACTGTATCAGGAATATTTAAGGTAGTTGCGCCTGACTCGATCACCTTACCCAACAATTTACATAGAAAATCTTTATCACTTCTGCCGCCATCTTCGGCACTAAATTCAACATCATCACAAAGACTTTTTGCATATTTTACAGCTTCTGATGCACGTTTTATACATTCTTCTCTATCAATTTTCAATTTATATTTTAAATGTATATCAGATGTTGCAAGGAAAGTATGTATTCTATGTAAAGGTGATTGTGACACTGCATCATAACATCGTTTAATATCCTTTTCTTTTGCACGCGCAAGTCCAGTGATCGTCTATTATTATTCGTATATAAGCATAATATCAAGCATGATAAATATCTTCATAAAACACAACTACGACAATAATAACTACTTACCACTGGTTTTCCGATATTCTCTCGACCTTGCATTAATGGACCAACTTCTTTTGCTATCCGAGCAACTGCTTCAAAATCTCCTGGTGAAGCAACCGGAAAACCAGCTTCAATAACATCAACGCCAAGACTTGATAAATGTTTAGCAATATCAATTTTTTCTTCTGTAGTAAAAGTAACACCTGGTGACTGTATATAAATTTTTTTTATTAATAACAAGTTGATAAAACATTTTTTTCTTCTTTTTATCTATACCTACCTGTTCACCATCACGTAAAGTTGTGTCAAAAATTATCAATTTTTCTTTATTTGCATTATTGACTTGACTGGCAAAAAATCGACGATTACGATGATTAACTATTGAAGAGCTTGTTATGGTGGGTATAATAGCATTTTTTAAGGGTAAATTTATGAATTTTTTAGTTGTTATATTATGAAAACTTTTTGAAAACATTGTTTCTTTTTTTTAATTTTAAAATTTTTTCTAAAAAACAATTGAAAAAAATTGGTTTTGATAAAATTTTCTACCGATTTATTTATTTTTTATTTATTTAAAAATTTGGTGACTCATTTTTACGATAATTTTTTATTATATGACCAATTTATTGTCATCCTGACCAGGGACGATGATTTTCTGCGGCGATGAAGTGGATTGCTAAAAGTGCATTAATATTAATATTAAAAAACACTATATTCTGCACAATTCGTTATAATATCTATGCATTCTGCAGTAATTCTCCATTATAATTTTAATTATTTGTAAAACATTTAAACTGCCATTAATAATAAAGCATATTTAAAGACTCTTCAGATAAATTCTGCCAAAAAATCGTATTTAGAAAAATTTCGTTCCACACTACAAGAAGAAATTGGTAACCATATACGGTCCAATGCTATTTGAGATAGATTGGGTAAATTTCCGGCCATATTTAACCAGTATTCATCTAAACTAATGTCCAAAATTTATATCAAACGTGGATCCACAATAAATTGCCCATTCATTTAATAAAACATTAGATGAGTCATTTAATT